TGTTTGCGCGTCATTAAAGGTCTTTTTTCTTGTAGTGGAAGTTACAATTCTGAGAAGATGAAGGATGAACCGAAAGTCTCCTCTCAAAAGGATGAAGATAAAAAGGAGAAGAAGCTTGCAGGAGACTCTGGATACGACTGCAACTATTGTCACGGCAAAAACCATTTTGCCAAAGATTGCATGTTAAGAAAGATGGATGAGAAGAGAGAGGTTAAAGATGACGAAGCGTATTATATGCACAAATTAGAAGAAGTCAAAAAGAAAAAGGTGTCCAACAGCTCAATGAATGCATTAATCGTACAGGAGAATGCTGAGGAAGATGAGTTCAGTGGCGTAGAAGTATGGTCAACCGACTCTGAAGACGAAGAGGTTAGAAGACCCACTCATGGAAAGGCTTATGTGGCAAAGAATGAAGATGCGGGTGGAAAATGTTTTATCGTCACTGCTGGTCCATCAACCGAGAGTGCAGATTCGGAGCTGAACCTAACTGAAAATAAGTGTTTTGCGGCCAAGCCAGTGAGTGAGAAGATCAACGACTACGATCGATTGATCAAAAAGGTACATTCTATTCTTGAGTCTCTTAAAATTTCAAAAACTGATTATCAAGAACAATTAAATGAATTAAACTCTAAATTCTCTAACCTAAGTAGTAGCCTCATGCAAACACGCTTAGCAAATTCTAACCTAACTGACCAACTCGGTAGGGTATCTTCAAAAAGTGAGGAGAGGAGAATCTGGATTGAGCTAAAGGAAGCATAGTTAGTTAGGGCTAGGGATGAAAGTATTTATTTGCAAAGAGACAATTTAAAGTTATTAAAACAAAGAAATGTTTTTTGTTTGATTGTGAAACATCTTTATACTAATATTTCTCAATTACATTTAAATTGTGAAATTGGTAAGAAAATTCATAAGACGATTTTGCCCTTTCTTGAATTTAAAGAAGATGAAGTTATAGCAGAATGTGAATCAAAAGTGTCTTCTGAAGAAACATCAATGTCGTATAGGCTAGGTTTGGATAAGATAGAAACTTTCATCGATTCTAAGGAACATAAAAGTATGTTAAAAGATATCTTAGATGAAAATGATAGGCTAAAGATTAAAACTGAAACTATACAAATATTCGACTTGTCAAATGCTAAAATTGTTAAGGATACTAAATAAACTTAGATAATTCGTCTGAATTTGATGCGGAAAGCGAGATGAGTGAAATCTCAATAGAAGATGAAGTTGATTATTCTAAGTTTATGAAAAAATGAAACCAAGAGTGAAAAACCTCTAATATCAGAAAATTTGGTTGAGTTTGCTCGTCTGTCAAAAGACCAGAAACCAAAATTCAAGGAAAAAGCCTTGGTTTATCAAAAGGTCCAGACCGTGCCAAATCAGGTTTATGCTACGACTGGAGTCACTCAAAGGCAGATGGCAAAATTAAGAACAATAGTTGATGAAGATAACACTGTAGGTTGCGAAGACTATTTCTGGTCTGCTCCTATTGATAACGCGGACGAAACTATGGGACTATCTGAGAAAACCACATGGAGAGTCAATGGTAGATACATACCAGAACCCCTCAACAAACCCTCCAGTTTCGATATTCCAAGCACAAGTGGAACCAAAGATGTTCCTAAAGAACCGATGGTTGAAGTTGATGTTCCTATCAAGAGGGAAGAACTGAAAGTTCTGCTCAAGAGAGAGGAAGAACCGAAAGTTCATACTAAGTCACCTGCAACCCACCAGAAAGAGAAACCAAAGGCAAGCTTCAATGTTCACAAATCTCAGAAGGAGCTAGCTGAATAGAAACGCCAGAGAAATCAAAGATACGCCACGAATCTGAATGAACGTAAAAGGCATTGGAATTCTCAAAATCCCAACTATGAGATTCCCAGGAAACAATATGTGGACAAGGGAAAGGAAAAGATGAAGGAAAACTTTAGTCCAAATTCCTGTTATTCCAAATCCCAGAACCAAAAGTCTAGTCTCGGTCGTGAACCCACTTTCGGTCCTCGACCCACTTTCGGTCCTCAACCCACTTACGGTCCTCGACCCACTTTCAGTCCTCGACCCAGATTCGGTCCTAAAACCAGATTCGATTCCAATCCTAGTTATGGATCCTCCAAGTCCCAAGATAAAACAAATTCTTTAAAGGACATCAAAGGAAAAGGAAAGCTGGTATCAGATTCTGAGAAAGAAAATAAGAAATCCTGTACTAAACCTAGGAATCAAACGAAAAACACTAAACCATCGAAAGCAACACCAAATGATACACTAAAATTTAAAGAAGATAAATCAAAAATCAAGGTGTATACCATTAAAAGAAAAGATCAAACAACTCTAATTAAACGAACTTATTTGGTTGATGCTTCTATTGTAATTCCTTTCTCTGTGAAAAACTCACCAGGACCCAAGAAACTTTGGGTTCCTAAATCTGCTTGAATTTGCAGGTAATCAGTGACGAGCAGTTTGACGAAGAATGGTATATAGACAGTGGCTTCTCGCATCACATGACAGGAAGGAAGGAGGAGCTAAGGGAGTTTCGGTCCCTGAGAGATGGTGGGTCTGTGAAGTTTGGAAACAATTCCTTTGGAACAATCAAAGGATACGGCATGATAACTAATGGATATTTCTCAATCAGAAAGGTGGATTATGTAGAGGGATTGCAGCAAAATCTCATCAGTGTATCGCAATTAGTTGTGGGCACAGGTTTGAAGGTATCATTCGATGATGAGGGGTCTGAGATAATTGAAAAACAATTCAAGAAGCCTCTGCTGAAATCTGCGTGGAAGGGTGAGATGTACCCTTTAAATATTAATCCAATACGAGGGACACCAGCTATTTGTCTTCTGTCAAAGGAAAACACTAATGAAAGTTGGTTATGGCATCGAAGTCTATCACACCTAAATTTCAAAGATATCAACAAATTGGTGATAAGGGATCATGTTTGAGGCCTTCCTCTTCTCAAGTTCGATAAGGAGCATTTATGCGCAGCATGTGAGATGGGTAAGCAAAGTCAAAAAAGCCACCCAACACGCATCAATACTAAGATAGTGGAAGCACTTGAATTGTTACACATTGATTTGTGTGGACCTTCTGTTATTGAGAGTATCGGTGGAAGTAAGTACATTCTTGTTATTGTAGATGACTTTTCCCACATCACTTGGGTTTTCTTTCTTAAACAGAAATCAGATGCAACTCTCAAGCTGAAGGTGGTCATCAAGCAAGTGGAAGTGCAATTAAGGAAGATAGTCAGAAACATCATAAGTGAATTCAAGAACAAGGACTTTGAAGACTTTCTGGCTGATAAGGGGATAACTCACAATTTTTTGGCCCCCTATACACCACAGCAGAATGGGATTGTTGAAAGACGAAACCGTTCTCTATGTGAAGCAGCCAGAACCATGCTCAGTTACGCTTCTCTACCTTTATAATTCTGGGTTGATGCCATCTTTGCTGCTTGTTATACTCAAAATCGGTCTTTGCTCAACAAGATATTCTCCATAACTCCTTATGAGATCTTAAATAATAGGAAACCGAACGTCAAATTCTTCCATATTTTTGGTTCACGATGCTTTATTTTTAACTCTAAAGAGAACCGAAATAAGTTTGATGTTAAAGCTGATGAAGGCATATTTCTGGGTTACTCTCTGTCATCAAAAGCATATAGGGTGTTGAATAAGAGTTCCATAAAAATTGAAGAAACTTATTACATCACCTTTGATGACAATTATATGAAGAAGGTTCAAAGGACTGAAAATGCTTCAGGAGACATATTCCCAGAATCTGGACAGGTCTCGTTTCCAATATCTAACCTGTTTGAGGAATACATTCGGCTGTTCGATGAACTAGAAAAGGCAATTCATTCGGAGGCAACAGCAGCAGACAACAAAGTAGATAATCTCAAGAAGGCCATAGATGAAGCCACTAAAGAGATGGAAAGAAAACCACTAAGTCCTAAGTCATCCAAAGGCTCTCCAAGTAAAGCTTCAACGTTCCAGGGGGAGAGCTCAACCACTCCAACGACAACTGAAGTTTCTGTTGAGGGAGAGAATCCAAGTTCATCCCCAACATCTAAAAGTACAGATGATAAAGATACAACTGATCCAAAAATCACAAGTGAAAATCCAATCGAGGGGGAGACACCCACTTCAACAAGCAATACAAACTCTGATGCTGACAGAGACTTCACTTCGCCAGTCAAGGGGGAGAAGGAAAAAGTAAGTGATAGTTCTACTGACGAAGGTGAAGGTGATCCGTCAGATGTTGAAATAGAAGTAGAAGCTGAACTGAATCCAAAATATGATCCAAGCTATCCTCCATTAGTAAAATGGACAAAGGACCATCCCAAAGAGCAAATTATTGGTGAAACTTCTGAAAGTGTTCTTACTCGGTCTCAACTGAAGGCAAAACAAACTGCATTATTCTCTAAAATGGAATTTTGTATGTTTAATTCATTTATCTCCAAGATAGAGCCGAAAACTGTAAATGTTGCACTTGATCATTCTGATTGGGTTCAAGCAATGCAGGATGAGCTCAATGAGTTCGAACGCAACAGAGTTTGGAGGTTGATTCCCACACCGAAAGATGCCTCTGTTGTCGGCCTGAAATGGGTGTTTAGAAATACGCTGGATAAGGAGGGGAATGTCATTCGTAACAAGGCTCGCTTGGTAGTAAAAGGTTATTGTCAAGAAGAGGGGATAGATTATGAAGAAACCTTTGCTCCAGTAGCAAGGTTGGAATCTGTTAGAATCTTTCTTGCATATGCTGCTCACAAGAACTTCGAAGTTTTCCAAATGGATGTCAAATGCGCTTTCTTGAATGGAGAATTAGAAGAAACCGTCTATGTTGAACAACCGCCTGGTTTTGTGAATGAAAAATACCCTGATCACTGCTATGTGCTGGATAAAGTTGTCTATGGGATAAAACAAGAACCGAGAGCCTGGTATGAAACACTAACTCGCTTCTTAAAAATGTCAAAATTTAAACAAGGTTTGGTTGACCCAACCTTC